TTCATTATTCTGGCAAAATCGATGATGATGATGATAACGCCCCAATAAACCATCCGGATCATCATTACACCGGATCCGAACCCGGTTTCTCAGCCGCCGTGGAGACCAGAAACCGATGCTAAAAGTTCAAAGTCGGATACCCACTTCCACACGACACGAATCCCAAAAGACTCCTCACGCCTCACGGTTCAGTTGCGTCCCACAAGGAAACAAATCTCGAATCTTCTTTTTCTGGCTTCCCGTGAACGAGATCCAGTGGAGAGCTCAAAGGAGGCGATCGGTAATCGGCTCTCCAGTTTTGCTGTGAAGTAATGACGGACAAGCAAGAGGTGGAGCGGAGCGGGAGCGGGAGCGGGAGCGGGACCGAGAGCGGCGACTACACGTCGGAGGATGAGGGAACGGAGGATTACAGGCGCGGCGGTTACCACGCAGTCAGAATCGGAGACACCTTCAAGAATGGACGTTACGTCGTCCAAAGCAAGCTCGGCTGGGGCCATTTCTCGACCGTTTGGCTCGCCTGGGACACTCAAGTCTCGGTAGGCTTCCTCTTTTGGTTGATCTTGAGGTTAAGACTTGATTATGGAGTTTAATTTAGCAAATCTTCTGCTATTGCTTGCGAAATTAGAGAAAATTGGAAGCGATAAAAGTGGTGATGTCGGACTTCTATTTTCACTAAGTACTTGCTCGACTACCTTTCTGCTTCCTTTGAATGACATCCAATGAATTCTATACTAAAAAAGTTTTGTGGAAAATGCCCTTTGTTATTGTGTTATTTCAAAGAATTTGCACTGTGTCCTAATTATATTGAGAAAAACTAATTTAATTGAACTTTCATCCATTACTGTTGATCTCATTTTCACAGTTTTTGAACAGAAAACAGAGGATAAATTATAAAATGTGAACTTTTTTTGCCTGTTAATTGAGCAATGCTTTTAAATTTTACTCTTTTTTTGTAAATTAATTTTTTTAGTAATTGCAATCTGCAGCAATATGTAGCACTGAAAGTACAGAAAAGTGCTCAGCACTATACCGAGGCAGCCATGGATGAGATAACCATCTTGCAACAGATTGCAGAAGGAGATCAAGAGGATAAGAAATGTGTAGTGAAGCTTTTGGATCATTTTAAGCATTCAGGTCCAAACGGACAGCATGTTTGTATGGTTTTTGAATACTTGGGTGATAATCTTTTGACGGTCATCAAGTACAGTGATTACCATGGCCTGCCCATTCATATGGTTAAGGAGATTTGTTTCTATGTTTTGGTGGGTTTAGATTATTTGCATAGAGAACTTTCTATTATACACACTGATTTAAAGCCAGAAAATATTTTGCTATTATCAATGATAGACTCATCTAAGGACCCCAGGAAGTCAGGTGCTCCTCCTATCCTTCCCAGTAGTAGGGGTAAGAGTGCAGTGGAGTCCACCAAAGATGCTAAGACGTTAAATGGGGATTTAACTAGAAATCAGAAGAAAAAGATTCGAAGAAAGGCTAAGCAAGCAGCACAGGGATGCATGGAGAAAGAAGTTTCTGCAGAAGTTGATGCAGATCCTGAGACATCTGGTGCAGTTGAATCATCTCTAAATGGTAATGTTGAAGAAAATTTGTCAGGTTCTGTCGATACAAATAGATTATCTGATACTGATGCCACTAAAGGTGATGGGCAAGTCAGTCAGGGTACTAAGAGAGGAAGCCGCTCAACAAGGCGTAAGCTGTTGAAATCAGTTGACCTGAAGTGCAAGTTGGTTGATTTTGGGAATGCATGTTGGACATACAAACAGTTCACAAGTGATATTCAGACAAGACAATACAGGTGTCCTGAGGTGGTCCTGGGATCTAAATATTCTACTTCAGCAGATCTTTGGTCTTTGGCTTGTATTTGTTTTGAGCTTGCAACAGGTGATGTGCTTTTCGATCCCCACAGTGGTGACAACTTTGACAGAGATGAGGTATATTCCTCTTCTTTTCCTATCTAGGATGATAGAGTATCTAAATTACTTATGAAATATGCTTGCAGAGTTGTCCTCTGGATGACAATTTGGAAATGTCTTGCAGTATTCTGCATTTGCCTGATTTAAGGATAAAATAAATGTGAAAATTATTTGTTATTGTGAATAGCAACAGGAAAAATATTGTCACATTTTTTTTTCCCTGAAGTAGGCTTGAAGGATCT